AGAAGATCGTTTAGCGAAAGAATGAAAAAAATTATTGAGGTAAATGGGGGTCACATTAAACATTTGTCATAAAAAGTTTTTTAAGTATTGTTCTCTGTGCTTTTTGATATTTTTTTCTCATTAAAATTGTTCCTTTATTTAGTTTGTTTTTAATTGTTTAATCCATGTTAACGTGGTTAATCACTCTCTGTGAAATAAATTGACTGTATGATTTAATTACTAGTTTTACTAAAAGAAATAAAAATACAAAAAATTGTGCCACTCAGCAATACAAAGCGTTTTCAATAATAATTTAAAGTCGACTTAATTAATGTAAAACAAAATAATTGTTTAACTTAAAATATTTAGAAAAATTTTATCGCTATGAAGAAAGAGTACAATATTTACGTAGAAAGCATTGGAGAATCGAAAAATTATGATAAAACTGCAATTCCGCCAGTGGCGTAAAATTTGGGAAGGGTTAACCAGTCACTTGCCCCTGTAGTACGCCTCTGATGGTAGCGAGAAACGTTTATTTACCATAATTTAGTAGGGTGTATAGTATCTACACTTGTTGCCAAATATGACAATAATACGTCAAATAGTTTTAAAGTACTGGACACAAATAATTTTTAAATTTTTAAAGAAAACACCCTGTAACTCACAACAGAGACACATTTTACCTAGGTAATTTGGATTAAATCTTTATAATTTGAGCTCAGGATTCTATAGTTGAAATATTTCCAATTAGTAATGAATCATTCTGTAGAGTATCAGTTAAACTACGAGCTTCAGTTAAACTCATGCGCAAGGCTGATGATGTTCTATATTTCTGTCAGTGTCACTGTGTTTTAATTATTAATCTTAAAAATTGTTATTGTGAAAAAATATTTTAAATTTAAATGAATGTTGTCGAATTATTTGAAAATATTTTATTTGCCAAGCTTCTTCTTTCTTTCTCTATGTAACGGCAACACTTTTTTACATTTTACAATGTCTTTATGCCCAGTGAATTTATTTATTTCGATTTTGGTGAAATTTAAAGATCTATTGTATCCATTATCCATTCTAATATCTAAGTGTTGATAACTTATAGTCTAAATAAAATAGGGGTGCAGTAAAAGTGGATATATAACGTCACAATTCATAGGCATACCTTTCAAAATAAGTTTCTATAATATAAATAAGGACACGGTATATAAAATAGTGCACTTCGTAGATTAAATTTTAAATGAAAAAGATATATTATTTACAAAAAATAATAAACTTCTGACAAAATTATTGCACGTTTACATCCAACCAACCAGAAGTTCAAGAACAATCTTTAAAAGTCACTGTCGTCACTATAACTACTCTTTTCATTATCATTGTCTTTTATTAGCTTTATTATTGTAGGGTCTACTAAGTTTTCCATTGCTGTATCCTCTTTCCAAAATATATTTTCCACCTATTTAACATGATTAATGCATTTTCTTTAATGTTCTCCATTTAAATCTAAAACTGCCTTCAAAAACAAAGTTCGCACATCAGGTAATTTAAATGTTGTATTGTTTAGAGAAACACAACCTTTTAATTGTAATTAGATCAGTTCAATGGGATTTAAGTCTGCGAGGTTAGGGGGCAATCTGAGAATTTCAATTCTTTTTTCGGGCCATTTCTTCTAAAATATTTATTTTTTAATTTGTTTTTATGTTGCCTTGGTATTACGAGTAAGTCTGCCTTCAAGTATTTAGGAGAACTGATGATATTTTTAGAATGAAGCCATTTTGAAATATCTTCTTGTAGGTAGTGACTCCTTTTTTCGACTTTGACAGGATGCATTATCCAAAACAATAACGGAGTTAGCTAGAATTTCTTCATAGTAGATAGTCTTTTGTTTTCTTTGACTTGAACATTAATAAACCATCTGGCAAAAGTCCATCGGTGCTTCCAATGTGGGTAATTATTAAGCAATTTCCTTTTCCTGTTAGATTTTTTAATCCATAAGAGGCTCCTTCCATTAAAGCTTGTTTTTTAGTTTTGATGGAGGTATCTTGTTAATTTTTTATTACTATATGTCCATCATTAACTCATGTTTCATCTAAATAAAATACCTGTTTATGCTGATAACTTGCGTCCGCTATTTTACTCAAATAACACTGGTTAACAAAATTTGTTTTGTCACATAAAAACTTATATCAAATTTTGAATGTACTAGGGCCACCAAACAATAATAAGTGAATGAAAAAAATTGACACGTCAGGTTTCCTTGTGACATCAAAACACATATTTTCATAAAAAGTACAAACATCAGCTACATTTAGAGAAATTATTGCTTAATATAGGAATATTTGGCTGCTGGAAGGTCTTTTTTTATGTCTCCAACAATAATAATCTGGTAGCATTCCTGAACGCTATTTCCTTTGATAGCGCTTCTCCATTAAGGAACCTCTCGCTTTGTTTGTCACTCACAGTACCCAAATTTGCCGGAAAAAAAATCCAGCTGAGAGTCCAGGATATGTATTTTTAAGGACATATTACACCTCAAAGCTTTATATGACATTATGAGTTTATTTATTAAGTCTTTGTAATTTTTCGATTTATGGTTTCCATAAAAATTTTGGACAACATACACAAAATATTTCCAGGCGAGTTTTTCCTGATCACTCAGTTTTTCTTCAAAGCTCTTATCCTTTATCAGTTGTCGTATTTGTGATCCTACAAATATTCCCTCTTTAATTTTTGCCCCGCTGAGTTTGGGGAATTTCTCTTTCAGATATACAAATCCACTGTCATCTTTAGACATAGCTTCTACAAAATTTTTATCAGGCCGAGCTTTATGTGCAACGGTGGTAAAAGAATGTCATCATGGTTCACTAAAGGATCAGTTTTAATATTTTTATGACCTGGAGTAAGTGATTTACGCTTGGGCCACACTTTCTTCGTACAGTGATTTTTTCTGTCTCTACTGTCCCATTCGCAAATGAAACAGCAAAATTTTGTATAACCATGCTATAGTCCAAGCAACGAGTTTAAAATCACCACAAATTTTCCAAGCGTGTTTACTGTATTCATTTTTATCAAGAAGACATCTCATATTTTCGTACGTTTCTTTCATATCAGAATTATGAGCAACCCGCACTAAAGGAAGTTTATTGCCGTTATGCAGCAACAGTGCTTTCAAACTAGTTTTTGAGGAGTCAATAAACAATCGCCAGTGATTTGGATCATATTCAAAATTTAATAAATTCATCAAAACAGTAACGTTATTACAAGAGACTAAATTAATTGCTTTAGAAAAGTAAGTTTTATTTCATCGTCACGATGTCAAAAATAAGAAAGTAAATTCCAGTCGTTTAATCCAGACCCCCAAAAACTCAGCCTGTTTTTTAGACAGATTCAAATCACGTACTAAATCGTTTAAATCACTTAGTGTCAATAAGTGCGGTTCTTTTGAAGTTGACGGTTCATAACTTGGGTCACTATCTTCAGATACTTTATGGTGCTAACTTAGAACAAGTTCCGGAGTAGAATCCTGACTTTTTGATCGATTTGGAAGCTTTGGCACAGGCAGTTCGGCACTGTGTAGGATAGGTCTGTTGGCCGAAGACAAGTTTGGACTTGGTTGTTATGCCTTTTGTTTGAGTCAAACAAAAATAACAATCACTTACATGATCCTTTGGTTCGGTCCAAATAATTGGTATAGCAAGTGGCATATGTCTGGGTTCTTGTTTAGCCCAACCCAATAGCGGTCTCACACACGTTACAAAACATTTATGTGGAACCCAGGATTTATCTTGATTCCTCACAGGAAATCCAAAATAGTCTAAATAGCACTGTTCAATTTATGATGTGAAATTTCGACGCTGATATGTAAAAGTTAATTCTCCACACACATAACAAAAACTATCGGGATCGGAGTTGTTAGAACACTTTCATGGCATGTTTACGACCTAACAAACGTATATAAGATGTAAGTTAGTTGAATGCAATAGTTATACAGTCGACTAAATGAAGTAATTCAAAAAGAGACACGTATGTGAGGTCAGAAATGAATATGTAGCTGTCACAAAAACTGGACGTGATTGAAACAAAACTATTATATATTCTTAATGAGGGTACACCAACATGAACAAAAATCATCACAAAGTTCGTGTGACAAAAACAGTGTTTACCAGTGTAATCATGTCTCCATGCAATGATTTCGTCTTTCTCTGTTAAAAAGCTGTTGCGGTCACGTTTTTGTAACGAAAATTTACCTCGTAATATTTTTCACAGATATGATAATATTGGAAGAGTGAATTTTAAGTGTCGGAATATAATTTTGAAAGAAAAAGAATATACGATTTGTCTTATTAAATTCTTCACCCAAGTTTCAATAAAGGTCTTGTTTTTCCCTGATGACTTTTTGGATGTGAGACCAATAACTATATCTTCTTCAATAATATTATGCACTGTCCGCTTAGATACTCCAGTATAGGTCTCACATTTATTGGCTATTTCATCCACAGAAAATGAAAGTCTTTTTAAAGATTATTAAATACATTAAGTACGATATTTTTTCTTCTAAAGATAATACTTTACGTCCACTAGGCCGTTTACGCGTACTTGTACTTTTAATATTTTCTAATGCACTCGCTATAAGTTCAGAATCAGTAAAAATACATACGGTACAGTATGACTTATCTGTCAAAAGAAAATGTCCATTACATTAAAAACTATGGAAATATAATTAAATCTAATCGAAACCTTTTATTAGGCTCATCAGATGTACTAAAATTTAAACTATACTATGAATCCAACCTACATACTACAAACAAACCTGCCAAGTTTAATCAAAATCGTCAATAGCGTGTTTGAGTTATTAATAAAAACCTGATTTTTGTTTTCAAATCAATAACCTGTATCTTAAAAAATGCAATCTAGAGCACATATGAAATTTTATTAATAAAATAGACCTCCTGTATATATCTACTAACAACAAAATCGCTTTATTGGTGTTAATTATGGGTATTCATATATTATTATTTATTTTGTTTCAGGTTAAGATGACGTCGATAATGCACTTAGTTGTAGAAAATTATAGTGAATTTGCACAATCGAGAGGTAAGAAATATTTTTTTAACTTTTCTTATTACATTTTTAATAAAGTTCATTTTTTTTATTTCAAAGTAGTTTTGAAATACAAAGGATTTTTTTTATAATCAATTATATATTTTTAATCGGTTATATAACTAATGCTAATACTAATTTTCGAGGTTTTTTAGTTAAGAAATAACTAGCCCTCCAAAGAATACCTCTTTTACATATATATTTATTTTGTTTTTACCTCCATGGTTATTAAATTTAATAGAATTTCTATAGTAGTATGTCACTCTGATTTAAATTCTAAATAATTAGCTATAGCAATGCATCGGAATTTTTAATCCTATTTACGTAAATACAATCAATAATTATGAATAAATGTCTTCGTTTTTTTTAAGAAAATTTTCAATTCACCGTTTAATTAGGAATCTACATATTGGCATTAAAATAGTACTATTGTTTATGATTCGCACTCATAAATAGTCCATAGAATAATTGAAAGGCTTATTGGAATAACATGACAAGCCACAACGGTAATTTATTGAAGAAACACGTCTTCAAAGGAGGTCCGTGAAGTTGGCCCCCAATGATATTTTTCAAAAAAAAAAAAAAAAAAAAAAAAAACTACTGCACCACAATGCACTAGGGATGCACCAATATGCACCACTAATTATTTTTTTTTCGCACCACCTTCGTTAAGAAACTATAGCCATCTCTTTGTGGGGGGCGTGAGCGAATGAACGCTGTCCCCTCCCCCAGTAAAAATTTTAAGATTTATATATATAAACTTTTATAACATTTCTAGTATCATATTCATATGCGTCTTAGAATTTTGGGCGTAAGACCATAAAACATTTGTGCAAACCTAAGTTATTAATGTTCTAATGCTGCCTCCATTTCAGGTGTGAAGATTTGGTTTTTACAAAAGTCAGGTTTAAATTTCCATGTTGTCTATTCCGATATCGTTTGCTCTTTTTACATAAAGAGCAAGTCTGCTTTTTTTACGTCGTTATTAGCTGTGCTCCTGCGTATGATTAAGTTATTTATTAATTCATCTTTAACAGCTCGTTTTATATTATTGTCAGTTTTTTCCTATAACAGCTCGGTATGTTGAAATTATTAAATAAAAAAAAAACTTTAAAGGTCCATGTAGGAGACTTTGGACAGACCTGTCCATTATCTACTAAGTCTACACACAGACAACTTAAAATAATTACAAATAAAATTGTTTGATATTTAAACGGTTTTCATCACATAATCTCAAATTATAAATATCTAGGAAGCACCTCACTAAATACGAATTATAACAAAACAATAATTGTCAAAATAAATCTTCCGATAATAATATGCAAAATTACATCAGATTATCCGAAAACTGTTTTTTTTTCTTCACTTTTAATAGCCTTTTATAGCCGATCCGAACACTTCCAATAATGTAATGGCTACTTATGGACAATGAGAACTAATATTAAAATAACCAAAAAAGGTTGACAGCTGTATGCACGTAGTTTAGATTCAAAAGGAAAGACTTGTATTTCGTGCAAAACTTTTTAATTAATCAATGCAAAGCGCTTTCGGCTTATTTGCCATCATCAGTGCTTATCTACAAAAATTGTGGATGTAAACTTACAACTGGTATTGGGAATAGTGAGTGTGGGATAAGCCCTTACAAATCAAATCTGATCTCCAGAAGCAAGTTAGCTTGTGTGGAATTAAAGAATTATGCCACCTTCACTATTCACAAAATTGAAAACAAGTTAACAAATTAGTTAAAATTTAAAGAAATTTACAAATATGGAAGATATATTGAAATTTGAATCTAAAATACAATATTTAATATAAAGAAAGTTAAACGCAGAAGGCCAAAGTAAAAAAAACTGAAGGTTTTTTCTTATTATATTTTATATATATTATAATTATAAAAAAGTCTACCTACTGTCCACAACGTATCCAACAAGTTCCTGGTCATCCTCACTCCCAAAATTAGATATTTCGGGATATTTACAACTTGCTAAATCATAATCTTAGTATTATTAATATTTTCAAATTTAAATTTATCTATTCATTTTTATTCAAGTTGTTTAACCGTTTCCACATGACAGTGGTGACAAGCGACACTTGAAGACGTTGACTTGTCAAATGTCAAGAGAAGGAGGTGCGTTCACCTCAGTGTGGAACATGTTTCTCCGAGTGTGATTCGAGTGATTGGAGGTGGTTAACGGAGATCAAAATTTGTTAGTATTGAATTTAAAGATTTGATTTATTGTTAGTTAAATTTAAATAAATGTTTAATATAAATGATATTATTATTTTGATGTCAAGACAAAACAAAAATGTCACTCGCGTGATTCTGATGTGCCAGCCCGGGCTCTGCAGAACATTCTTTCAGAGAACCCAAGATGGCACAACTGAACCCGCGGTCCCTAAAGGTGAATCTGATGTTTAGTCCTTAGTAATTTTTAGGACTAAACATCAGTTAGACTCATCGATTTTTACTTTATTGGTGTATTTTTTTACCTTCAAGTACCTTTTTATATGTATTTACTATAAAAACATAAAGTCTATTACGAGCATCTAAAAAACAAAATCGACATTTCCTATCAACAATTTTTCACTCAACATTTTATCACTTTTATTCCAACATTTACGTGTTCACTGTATGCAGTTGGTAGATATCTAACAGTAAAAAATCGAATGTGTTTTTTTTTATAAAATAAATGCAATTCCGTTACTTTCAGATCAGATGATATATTTCTCTTCGTTATATTAATGGTTTCTTTGAGGCAAAATAAAATTTTTTATTCAATTTCCTCTATACCGTTATGACATCCTTGGGCAAAATGTTCAAAATTATTCTAATCTATACATACAAGTTGTCGGTAATAAATGACCGATTAGTATTTATAAGGTTTGATTTGAGAAAAGTAGTTCAACCGAAGCATTTAAGTAGTCATTTAAAGACGTCTTTTTTAAAAAAAAAATCGACTAAGGTAGGAGACAAAATGTGCGGTTTAGCATAATAAGAATGTTGGTGGGGACTTACGTATACAGAGGACCGGTAATACAAACCAGTAGGTCAAAATTTTAAGCGCGAAGAGGATACACTTAAAATATAATTATTAAAAAGAGACGGGTACTTATTTGAAGTAGTTTAGAGGTTCCGTAAAAAATTTTTTTTGGTATTTAATAAAAAAAAAATCAAATATTTCCTGTAAATACACATCTTTATTTCAAATATTACAATGATATAAAATGATAGTAAGAAAAAACTAAAACTATTTTACGATTCAACGCGTTTTAGACACTCTCAGTATTAACTCACAGAAGATCTGAAGCTTTTTTTCTCTTTAAATTTCTTTCTATTTTATGTTGAGGAGGAAGCATTTTAAAGTTCGTGTTTTTTGGATTTTTTCTTTAACGATCTTAAGATCTATATCTAAATATGTATTTCAATATACCTGGGAACATCCAGAATATTTTGAAATATCTGATATCCACATAAGTTGGTTTATTATAGCCTTAAAGCTGTATATCATGAGTTCATATAAGTTTTAAGAGCAAATTGAACAGCTTTAAAATTTAAAATTCCTTCTAGCTTTTATTTATAGTCCGATTTTTGTGTTATTTTTAGGAAATAATAATAACAAAATTTAGGGTGGAGAAATCTTGATTTTTTTGTTAACCTTCGAAAAGTATATATTTTGATAGTTTTTAAAAGGAATTAATAAAAAACATGTACCCGCCATTCTGTATTAAATCTTTAAAAATATGCTGCTTTTTGCTTCAAAAAATATCTAGTAGTTTTAAAATGAGAGGTTTTCCCTCCTTTTTTTGTTAAATGTATCTGTAGAGTTCTGCCTTATCGAGCACAAATTTAGAGCTCCAATATTCCCCATATACATAACGCCGAAAACCCTGTGGCGCGCATATAAATACAAGAAAAAAATGGTACGCCACTGAGATATTTCAAATTAAAAATCACTTATTAACATCAATGTTATACCCGAGAGTATTCTCGGGTTATACCAAACTAAAAGCTTAATAATGAAGAAACGCTAATTTGACATTTCGTTAAACTATTCGTATTTAACAGAATGTTGACAATAGCCTACTAGTACAAGCGTCGCTATTAGATAATAATGTATTAAAGAAATGGAAAATACGCGTTAAGATATTTTATTTTTTTTTGCATAAAAACGGCGCCACACACGAAAAAAAGGCCATAGATATTTTTTGTGACAAATTTAATGAGGAATTCAAAAATGATTTTTAATTTGAAATATCTCAGTGGCGTACCATTTTTTTCTTTAAATGAATTGAGATCATTACCCGTATGCACGCCAATGATGAACATAAAATTCTTAATTGCATGTCAAAAAATGCGGAATAACTACCTCTTAAAATCCACCAAATTTCATTTGCATATCTTGACCGGTTTCAGAGCAATAAACAAATCGTCAGTTTTTAATAAAAACTTTAACACCCCGTATTCGGAAAACGAAGCATTTTCAGACATACGTTTATATAGCAAACTGTCATTATTTTTTCATGCTGAATCACCCCCTGAAGTTTGTCGCACTTATTTACTAACACCCATATTCATTAATGTAGGTACAATGGTTTTATTGTCAGTCTGTAATTGAGTAAATTCTAGGTAAATCTATAGATACTGGAACCATTGCCTACTAGGTACTTGAACTGACCCTTTTAATCCCCTAACTCGTCAGTTTGTGCGTTCTTACTAATGAGAGTAGATCGAATTCGGCGTGTTATTTTATGTTAAGAAAATAATGTTTTTATGTTATTGAACAGAATTAAAATGAGTTCAGGTTCCAATTTAAGAAGAAGTTGTATAAATCAACCTGGTGTGTTTTGCTATATATGCCGAGAATACATGTTTCAACAAAACAGACAAACTATTACTGACTTTGTAAAGCGAGCGTATCTTGGATATTTTGGAGTTAACCTTGGTGATCAGGACAAAAAGTGGGCTCCGCATCTTGTATGTAAAACTTGTACAG